GAGATTAAGGAGGGATATGATCAACATTATAAATACATAGGTTGTCCATATAGTAAACTTGGTGTAGAATTATTCACCTTAAGGTTATCACAGAAGACAAGGGGGGCACTCTTTACATCTGGAAGAAAAAAGAGATTTAATCTCCAAATACTGAAAGGCTTCTTCATAGTAATAGGTCCAGAAAATATGGAATAGATCTCCTCAAGTTCTGGATCTGACTAGCTCAGTAGATTGTTTTAACCACTTGCCCTCCTGAGGATTTTCCCCCCTTCCTGACCAGGCCATTTTTTTGCGTTACGGCGCTGCGATATGTTAACTGACAATTGCGCGGTCATGCAACACTGCTCCCAAATGAAATTTACGTCCTTTTTTTCCCACAAATTGAGCTTTCTTTCGGTGGTACTTGATTGCCTGTGCGTTTTTAATTTTTGATACTCTAAAAAAAAAAAAAGACCGGCAATTTTGAGAAAAAAAACAATATTTTTGACTTTTTTTGCTATTAAACGTCCAGTAAAAATAATTAAAAATCTGATTTCTTCATAAATTTAGGCCAAAATGTAAAATCCCAATATGTGTAAATTAATTGGTTTACGTGAAAGTTATAGAGTTTACAAATGGCGGTATAGATACTGGAATTTTTTTTTTTTTTTGCTTTTTACTAGTAATTGCGGTGATCAGCGACTTGTAGCGGGACTACGGCGGACATTCTGACACTGGGGGAACTGACTTGGTGTCACTGACATCCCCAGTGACACCAATACAGTGATCAGTGCTAAAAAAAAAACACCAACACTCTACTAATGACACTGTGCAGGAAGGGGTTAACATGAGGGGCGTTCAAAGGGTTAACTGTGTGCAGGGATGTTTTGGGGGTGGTGGTGTCTGTGTGCTACACTGTAATCACACTGCTCTGGATGGCTATGCTGTGCATAGCCATCCAGAGCAGTGTGCCCGAGCTGACAGGGAGGAGGGCTGTTAGTAAACAAAACAGTCCTCCCCATCGGAGATGCTCGGTAATCACTGGGCACCGGCGGGTTATCACCGGCCGGGACCCGGTGATTGACAGACACACAGCCGCGAATGGCGGCTCGCGCGTGCCGCCTACTCAAAAATGCAAAATCATGTATATATACATGATTTTGCACACCCCTGCCACCCTGTAGCAGTATATCTGCTATAGGGCGTCGGAAAAGTGGTTTAAAAAGGCCTGGATTCTTTCCTAAATGTAAACAATATAACTGGATACTAATATTTATAGGTAAGGTTGATCCAGGGAATATCCAATTGCCTCTTGGGGTATCAGGAAGGGTATTTGCCCTTCTGGGACAAATTGGATCATACTTTGTTGGAGTTTTTTGCCTTCCTCTGGATCCACTGTGGGTATAGAATTGTGCATATAGGATTATATGTATTTTTTTTCCCTTTTATTGGCTGGACTAGATGTCTTTTTTCAACCAGACTAACTATGTAACTGTGAATCGCGATAGGGCTCAGGTAAGTATTAGGGGGGCTGGGGGGGGGCTGCTTCACATAGAAGGTTGTTTATCTTCATACATAGAATGCATGAAGGTAGAAAAACCTTCAGCCTTTACAACCACTTTAACTTTAAGGGTCAGAATAACAGCCCCAGAACCTGTAGAGTAAAAAAATTCAGCAGTGGCAGCTCCTGTATTTTTATTGTAGTGAAGAACAAAAAAACAGTGCGCACCAGCCTTGTGCATTACCTCAGTAAACAGTTAATGGATTTATTGATTTAGGAGATATACTCACAAACGTAGTAAAACAAGCACGTAAAGTCCAAAGTTGAACCACACGCTAAGGAGACACGTGCGTGTCCCATCAGAAGGGGAGATTCTCAGAGTGATGCTGACGCGTTTCGAAGGTGGATCCCTTCTTCATCAGAGCTACTGATGGGATACGCAAGTGTCTCCTTATCATGTGGTTCAACCTTGGACTTTACATGCTTGTTTTTACTACTATGTTTGCGTATATCTCCTAAATTAATAAATCCATTAATTGTTTACCGAGGTAATGCGCAAGGCTGATGCGCTCTGTCTTTTTGTTCTTCATTACAGTTTGTATCAAGCTTCCCCAGCTTTTTGTTTGAGCTGCACAGCCTTTGATCGGACCTGGAAGAATCTCCATACTCTTCAAGAGTACTGGTCCATTGGTCCCCAATGGATCTGGGTCCCTGAGCACAGGAGGAGTTGTTGCATTTGTGGTACTTTCCTGTATTTTTATGCCTGGTCCCATTAGCTGCTCATATTTACCTTTACTGTTTTATCCCGTCACTTCATTTACGCTTCATGTAAATAAAATGACTGGATTCCTTAGGCAGGTACTCTACAAAGTATTTGATAATAAGATTACACAGCGATTGTACAGTAAATGTGTAATACATATGGCCAGCTTAAGACTTTTAAAATGTTTTTTGATTTTTATACTGTTTATCCTAACCCTAGTAGATTGCGCATTCAGAATGTTATATGCGTGGCCCGCACACAATTATTATTTTAGGGCCCATTCACACTAGCAAGCCACTGCCCCTTGGGGACATGCTGTGACTTTACATTTCTTTCTTAACAAAACTTTAGTAATAGAAAATGGTAAATCTCAGTAAATCAGGTATGTCTTTAATAAAGAATACACGTCTGGTCTCGAGAAATAATGAATGTAAAATGTTGGGAGGTATAAAAATGTAAAGACCTATGCCATTATCTACATAGTGTAACTGGTTAATTTATCACATATTTTAAAGTAGAACTGAAAGCAAACTTTTTTTTCTTGGGAGGGTTTTAACCCCTGTAAGTTTTTTGTTTTTAATTTTTGTGCCATTGGTGGGATTTCCCTTCACTTCCTGTTCTATATAGCCACAACAGGAAGTAGGAGGTAATCCCTCCAAAGTGATGGATCACCAGGGCCACCAGAAATAGGGGGAGATTTAATAAAACTGGTACGCACAGAATATGGCGCAGCTGTGCCTAGTAGCCAATTAGCTTCTAGGTTTTTATTGCCAAAGCTTAATTGAACAAGCTGAAGTTAGAAGCTGATTGGCTGCCATGCTCAGATTTTTGCACTCTCCACTTTTAGTAAATCTCCCCCATGCTGTCCCTTTTGGAAAGATTTTCCTTCTATTCCTATTCTGGTGACAACCCAAAAATTTAGATTTTCTTTCACTTTTAGTGATTACGGTCACCAGGACAAATAGGGAAGGTAGATCCTACTGGGAGCCATAGGCAAAAATAAAAACCTGACAGGTGTTTTACTCCCTCTCTACTTTATCTACTTAAGCTCTGGAAGATTTTACCCCCTTCAAGACCAGGCCATTTTTTTATGTACTGTACTGTACTACTTTTTGGTAATTTCACAGTCATGCAGTGCTGTACCCAAACAAAATGTAAATAATTTTTTCACACAGATAAAGTTTTCTTTTAGTGGTATTTGATCATCGCTGGGCTTTTTATTTTTTTGTGGTATAAATGAAAAAAAACCGAACATTTTGAAAAAAAAACCAGTATTTTTAGAAAAATTACAATTCTTTAAAAAAAATGAGTTTTGCCTTCAGTTTGTGTAATACACTTTAGCAGAAATTCTGCATTTAAAATTAAAATTATTCATAAAAAAGTTATTTGTGATATTGTGGTAGTTTTGTACTATTTTTTTTTTTTCTATTAGTACAAACAAATGTTCTTTCAGGCCCCAGGCTTTAGAATAATGGGAAACCCAACCAATGCGAACAATTTGTGCGGTTTAGAAATACTTGTTTGTAGTCTTTCACCACTGATAAGGTTTGGTTCACACCAATGCATTTTGTAGTGCTTTTTGCAGAAAAGCACTACAATCCCATTTACCACCGGTTCACATATATGCAGTCGCGCGGGCTGCATTTGCATGGGCACGAGAGCCCATTCATTTGAATGGACTCCCGTGCCCTGGGACATGCAGGGAAGAAGTCCCTGCACTTCTTTGGAAAACGCAGCCCGCACTGGAACCTCGGTTCCCAGTACAGTTGCTTTTTCCAGTGCGGGTGGCGTGCCATTAGAACTAATGGCACCCGCCCACGGGTCCGCATTTCTCTGTGCGGGTGGTGCGGCTGCACGGATTTTGGTGAAGATCCGCAACGGCACCACCCGTACAGATGTGAACCTAGAGTAAACATGGATTCCTTTTGGACACGTTCACATCTATGCATTTTTCAGCTGCTGCGTTTTTGAAAAGAGTCAGGGACTTTTCAAAATGCAAAACGGTGCGTTTTTGGTTCAATAGACTTCAAGGAGATACTGCAGAAAATGTATGTAGTGCGTTTTTTACGTGTTTTGTGTTTTTTAATCTGCCCAGCAACAAGTTTGGCGAAAGAGAAAAAACGTAAAAACCGCAAAGTGCATCAAAAACACGTGTAAAAACGCAAAAAGTGGAAATGGATCAAACGCAAACTGAATTGGTGTGAACCAAGCCTCAAGAAAATGTCAGTAGATACTCAAATTGTGTTCTAGCAACTGATAGTTCTGCTACGTTTGCTTGTTGCAGCTGTTGCTGGCATTGATGTTTTTACAACTCAATTTGTGAGTTAAAGGGGGCCTCAAATGCAGTCCCTGATGTCACCAAAGGCACACACATAATGTTCCATAAATGTAATCCTTGAGAGGACTGTCAGAAACTGTTGACCTAATAGAGGAAATGGTGGTCAGAGAGTGTGGACATGCTACATTCTTGGCTGGAGATACACTGCAGAAGACAATACGAAACTGGGAACATGCTACCTGGCGCTATTAGAGATCAATACTATTATCTCAATCAATGTTCCCATTACGGACTGCTGAGGACCAAGGGCCACACATCATATACCAAAGGGCCACAGGTTGGGCACCAGGATTCTAGGTAGAACACAAAACAACCTATAGAATTAGGGGTTTTACTTTACTAAGATTTGACAGACTTTCAATAACCTATAATATGTCTGTTTTCCCAGATAAATGATTGATATCTTTTTTCTCATGCAGCAGTAGATCTGTCGGGACATGAAGACAAAGTTGGAATGGTAGACTTTGAACTGCTGAAAATTTTGGGAACTGGAGGTAAGAAGTGACACGACCTGCTTACAGTGCTTTCTCCACAGGAATATATGAAAACTCTAGCAAGGGGGAACAGAAAGTTTGGCTCTCAGCAGAGTCTTGGTTGTCACAGTGTTGTTGGGTAGGGAAGATTTTCCTGCCAGAGGTTTGGACAATAATATAAACCTGATAGGGGATAAATCCTGCTTCACATTTTCCAAAACTTCATAAGTCCTGGTAATAGTGTTACACATTTAGACATCATTTGGTGGTCGGCCCTGTTAATTTAACCACTCTTAGTCCGGACACTTTCACCCCCCTTCCTGCCCAGGCCAATTTTCAGCTTTCAGCCTTGTCACACTTTGAGTGACAATTGTGCGGTCATGCAATACTGTACCCATATGAATTTTTTAGCATTTTTTTGAGACAGATAAAACTTTATTTTGGTGGTATTTATTCACTACTGGGATTTTAATTTGTTTTGGCTATCTAAATTAAAAAGTCCAAAAATTTTGAAAAAAAAAAGTGTTTTTCTTATACAATTTTGCAAATAAATAATCTTCCTTCATAAATCTTGGCCAAAATGTATTCAGCTATCTTTTTAGTAAAAACAAAAATTAGTTTATAACCAAAAATTATAATTTTTCTAATTTGTTTTACATTTTTTTAATATTATTATTTATGTTTTTTTTTTAAACATACTGGCACCCTAGCAGTACAGTGTCACCATAGTGACACTGTACTACCTGTGGGGGGGTGATGAATATATATATATATATATATATATATATATATATATATATATATATATATTTATTTATTTTTTTTTACACTGATTGCTTTTACACCCATAAGGGCTGTAAAAGCAATCATTTCTCCTTCTCTCTGGCTGCATTCTTGCAGCCATTGAGAAATACTGTGTGAGCTGTGATTGGTCACAGCTTGTCACATGGTACAAGGCTGTTGTGAATAGCCTTGTACCATGTGACCTCTGATCATTCACAGATTTCACACGTAGTAAGCAATGATGTCAGAAGTGACATCTTGCTTACTACTATTCATGTGATCAGTGATTGGCCAATCACACAGAGGTCCCATACAGCGATCAGCGATCCAGGGGAGCATGCACAGGAGGGGAGCGGGGAGGACGTTTATAAATGGACACCCACTCCTGCACTTCTCCCGTCCAGCCGTTTATATACATGGGCCGAACTGGAAGTTGCTAACCTTGTGTTTTTGTTTAACCACTTGCCTACCAGGCACTTATACCCCCTTCCTTACCAGGCCAATTTTCAGCTTTCAGCGCTGCCGCACTTTGATTGACAATTGCGCGGTCATGCAACATTGTACCCATATGAAATTTTGATAATTTTTTTCTCACAAATAGAGCTTTCTTTTGGTGGTATTTAATCGCCACTGGGCACTTTACTTTTTGCGCTATAAATTAAAAAATGTGCAAAAAATTTGAAAAAAAAAAAAAAGTTTATTTGTTTCTTTTATAAAATTTTTCAAACAGGTATTTTTTCTCCTTCACTGATTTGCGTTGATGAGGCGGCACTGATGGGCACTGATAGGCGGCACTGATGGGCACTGATAGGCAGCACTAAAGGGCACTGATAGGCAGTACTAATGAGGTGGCACGGATAGGCGGCACTGATAGACAGCACTAATTAGGGGTCACGGATAGGCGGCACTGATAGGCGGCACTGATAGGTGACACTGATGATGGGTACTGATAGACGGCACTGACTGGCATCACTTCTGGGCACTGACTGGCGGCACTGACTGGCACAACCCCTGGGCACTGACTGGTGGCACTGACTGGCAGCACAGGTGGGTGGGCACAGGTGGGTGGCACAGTGGTGGGTGGCTGGGCACAGGTGGGTGGCACTTCTGGGCACAGGTGTGTGACACTGCAGAGTGGCACAGGTGGGAGCACTGCTGGGCACAGGTGGGTGATCTGCTGGGCACAGGTGGGCGGAGCTAGTGGGGCGCACTGCTGGGCACAGGTGGGCGGAGCTTGCGGGTGGCACTGCTGGGCACCAATCATCAGGGCACTGATCATCAGTGCCCTGATGATCGGTGCCGATCCCCGCTCTGACAACTGCCGGTTCTCGGCAGTACTTTCCTCACGATCTGACAGCGTGAGGAAAGTGCAGCCGAGAACCGGCACTTGCATTTTCCTCTGATCAGCGTGTCATTGGACACCGCTGATCACGTGGTAAAAGGCCGCTGTGATTGGCCTTTTACCACATCACGTGATCAGCTGTGTCCGTAGGACACAGCGATCATGGAGATCGCCGGGTGCGCGCCCCCTGGGGAGCGCAGGAGAGCGCGTTCTGGGAGGACGTCATATTGCGTCCACCCAGAACTGGCCGGCCGCAGTGCAGCCGTCATTCGGCTATCTGCGGTCGGTAGGTAGTTAAAGTGTTACTAAACCCACTACAGTAAATTCAGTCTGTATATGCAGTAAAGCATGCTTTTTATAATCACTGTGGAACCTAAGGGGTCAGTCCTCTGCATAATGTAAAAACACTGTTTGAGTCGGACTTCTCTGATCCTCCCCTTATTCCAGTGTCCCCCTCTTATCTCCTGATATGACATATCGTGTGGAGACACATACTCAGTTTGGTGTGTATTGCTAGAGAGGTTTTTTTGTTTTTTGGGAGAGTGCATGTGATCAGCACATGGCCAATCAGCACTGTCAGGGGTTCTGCATCCTCCTAGAGCAGAATGAAAACTCCTCCTACAAGCTTTAAAATGTGCTCTGCTGGACACTGATAGAAGACACAAGACTGCTATATACTGCTGATGAGAGAAAAGGTATTTAGCAGTTTATATTTACTGAAATAATTGCATTTCCATGTTCTGTGTACTGTGGGACACCAGATACTGTATAGTGAATGCAGGGTCCTTGGTTTAGTAACCCTTTAACCAGTTCCCGCCCGGCTAATAGCACAAAGGCGGCCAGGCGAGCAGCTCATCCCTCCAGGTGGATGCCATATGGCGTCCTTTCAGGCACGCGCAGTGCGCCTGCCCACAGGGCTGCTCTGCGGCACAATCTGTCACCGGCCATGTACCTCGAACACGGCCAATGACAGATCTGTATAACAGCCCCGTTTCCAGTACCATGTGACCTGCTGTGACCAATCACAGCAGGTCACATGAACGTTGTATACAGTGGATGGCTTCCTTTCATGCCATCCATTGTATACTAGTGTGTCTACCTGTGAATGGTCACAGTGATCACATGCACAAACTGGGCTAATCACAGCCCAGCTGTGTCATGTGATTAGCCGTGGCCAAATCACAGCTAAGCACAAAAAAAAAAAAAACCCTGAATGAATCGATGTCATTCAGGTAAATGCTTGCTTATAGCAAAGTAATTCTTTGCTATAAGCAAATTGTGTAAAAAAAAAAAAAAAAAAATACTGATCACTTCCCCAAAGTAGTACAATGTTACTATGGTAATATTATACTACTTTGGTCATAGTGAAATATGAAAAAAAAAAATCTTAAAAAAGAAAAACAAATTTAATAAAAAATTAAAACTAATAAAAAAATTAAAAAAAAATAAAAACAATTATATTTTTTTTTTCCGTACTGTCACCAGTCAATGTTCCTGATCACCACCATGCCAGTTATATGATGACACTGTACTGCACTGGTGACAGTATGTAAAAAAAAAATAGTGAAAATTATTTTTTTTAATTTTCCAAAAAAATTATGACAAAAAAATTACAAGTTCAAAAAACTCGCCATGCCTCTTATGAAGTACATTGGACTGTCTACTTTGCAAAAAGGGGTCATTTGGGGGATATCTGTACTGTTCTGACATTCTTGGACCTCAAGAAATTAGATTGGCTGTCAGTACTTCAGGATTGATCAATATTCAGATCTATACCATAGTTTGTGAACTCTATAACTTTCCTATAAGCTAAAAAAAATACATCCTAATTTGGGTTATTTTCACCAAAGACATGTAGCAGAATACATCTTGGCCTAAATTTATGAAGAACAATTATTTATTTGCAAACTTTTATAACAGAAACAAAGAAAAATGTGGGGTTTTTTTTCATAATTTTCTTTTTTTGTTAATTTAGCAAAAAATAAAAACCCTGGTGTTGCTTAAATACCACCAAAAGAAAGCTCTAGTTGTGTGAAGAAAATGATAAATTTTAGTTTGGGTACAATGTTGTATGACCGCGCAATTGTCATTCAAAGTGTGAGAGCGCTGAAACCTGAAAAATGGCCTGGGCAGGAAGGGGGTAAAAATGCCCTGTATGGAAGTGGTTAGGGTATTTCAGGAAAATACTGCATTATGGCCACTAGATGGAGCTGATGATCATAGGACATTAACATATTACACAAATTATGCTGATTATACATGACAGCTGTGCAAATGGGCAGCAGAGTGGCTAAATGGTTAGCACTTCCGCCTGGCAGTACTAGGGCCATTGGTTCGAATGCCAACCATGTCACCACCTGCGTGGAGTTTGCATGTTCTCCCCGTGCCTGCATGGGTTTCCTCCAGGTTCTCCGGTTTCCTTCCCACACTCCAAAGACATGCAGGTAGGTAAATTGGCTCCTGTCTAAATTGGCTCTAGTATGAATGTGAGTTAGGGACCTTAGATTGTACGTCCCTTGAGGGTTAGGGACTGATGTGAATGTACAATATATGTAAAGAGCTGCATAAATTGTTGGCGCTATAAAAGTACATGAAGTAAATAAATAAAATGTTTGAGACATTCACCCTAAAATTTCACTATAAATAGACCCCTAAGTGTGTTGAACATGGTGCTTCAGGTTATTAAAATAGATCTTATCTACTTAGCCAAATCAGCCATTAGAAGGCTCCCATGCCGGTGTTATGGTTTAATTTCAGTGAGCCTGACAAATAATTCTGAAAGAATGAATGCTTCCTTTGTTTGCTGTTACCATTTGTTTCTTGCTTCATCCGGCGTTTGTAATGTTTTTTTTAATTCTTGCAGCATATGGTAAAGTTTTCCTTGTTCGTAAAGTGACTGGCCCAGATGCAAATCGCCTCTATGCCATGAAGGTGCTGCGCAAGGCAGCTCTGGTTCAAAAAGAGAAAACTGCAGAGCACACACGGACCGAACGCACTGTGCTCGAACATGTGAGACAGAGTCCATTTCTTGTGACCCTTCACTATGCCTTCCAGACAGATGCTAAACTCCACCTTATACTGGGTAGGTAAAGGGAGCAGTGTGCTAGGAATCATTAATGCTGTCTCATAGTTAAAAATGTAAGGATCTTCCCACCTTGATGTAAATTAGATCCCTAAATTCAGGCTTCGTGGAGCTCAACCTTCTCCTTCAGAAAGAGATAGACAGACACACATATACTTATGTAACATCTTTATGATATTGGTATGAGGCTTAATATCAGGTTTTTTATACAGGGGAATGGGCGGAATTCCATGTGGAACAATCTCAAGCATTAATGCCATTCTGGATTACAGTAGAAATTAACCTATAAAAAGAAAATGTATTTCATTGTCATCTATTGTTAGAGGCTTTATATATGTTAAGTCAATGTAGTGCACAAAAATGATGCAACAGAGAGCCTTTGCATCTGCTAAAATAATGACCGTTTGTTTAAAGAGTTAGATATTAAAGGTTATCTCCATCTTGAGCAACATGTAATACCTGTATTAAGCCCTGGTTTGACATATATGCAGCCGTGCGGCCCGCGTTTTGCGCGGGCACGACAGCCCATTCATTTGAATGCACTCCCGTGCCCCGTGACATGCAGAGAAGAAGTCCCTGCACTTCTTCTGAAAATGCAGCCCACACAGGAACCTCGGTTCCCAGTACAGTTGCGTTTTCCAGTGTGGGCGGCATGCCATTAGAAGTAATAATGGGTCTGCATTCCTCTGTGCGGGTGGGGCGGATGCATGGATTTTCGTGCGGATCCGCAGCGGCACCACCTGCACAGATTTGAACCTAGCCTTAGACTGTCACAACATGTTGCCAACATCCCAACCCTCACCCCCCCCCCCCCCCCCCCCAGCCACCATTTTCACATTTAAAATTAGTGCACAGCCCCCAGCCCTGCCATTAATTCACAGAGATCTGTGAATAAATAATCATCAGTCACGTCTACCAGTGCAACAGAAAGACTTGTTGTCCTCAGTGGATTACGAGTGAGTTGGCCAGTCCATTGACACTTTCTACAGCTCAGTAACAGAAAGCCCATACAGCGGTATGGACAGAGAGCTGTAGGAAGTGTTTGCAGGAGCCTGACATTGCCCTCTGATCCACTGATTACAGAAGCAATACTTTGCATTCTCCTGTGCAGAAAAGTCAGATATACATAGAATTAGGGAATTTGTTCAATTTTACTTGAATGGCCAGATCAAGACTATGAAGCTGTGGATAGCATTACTTTAATTATCTGAACATTTTTATGCAAAAAAGACTGAAACAGAAAAAGACCCAAAGGGGTTGATTTACTAAAACTGGAGAGTGCAAAATCTGGTACAGCTGTGCATGGTAGCCACTCAGCTTCTATCTTCAGCTTGTTCAATTAAACTTTGACAAAAAAAATGGAAGCTGATTGGTTTCTATGCAGAGCTGCACCAGATTTTTCATTCTCCAGTTTTAGTAAATCAACCTCCAAAATGTCATTAATTATGGTTGTATAAAAATTTTGCTTGCCAAAGTTTAGATAACAGGCTCTTTACCCTAGGTTAATTAATATTGGTATTTATTTATATAGCACCATCATCTCCCAAGGAAGAATAGGTTTTGCTTTTTATATAAAATATATATAAGCTTACACTCAAAAGGGCTGCAAAAAAATTAACAAGGAAGGAATGCTAGGGACAGCCTGGGAAAGACAGGGACATTGTTTAAAGTTCTGTTTAAATCATAATGAGTTAGTCACATATGAAGGTTTGTGAACTTTCAGATCCTTGACCAAGTTTTGCATGAGCAGTGAATTATAGTGCTGACTTCCTTCTTTAACTGAAACTAGATTTGAAATTTGAAACATATCAGTGTACTGAGATTATTTCTGATGGTTTATTGTACTTGGCACAGCAGCAGATTTTCTATTAAATGCAGCAAAGTAGCATTTACCGGGCCACAGCCATTTACATGGGTAAAAGCATATTGCTGCACCATGGTAGCAATTTTGTGCTTTATATAGAAAGGATAATAATGATGATAATCCATTATTGTCAGATAGTGAAAAAATGTGGATGATGAATATGAGTTATAAATCGTTTTGGAGAACTACCATTGCATAGTGTCAATGAATCTGAATTTCAGGTGTTTTTTTTTTTTTCATAGTCACATTTGTCCATCTTGGACCGTTGTACGTATGTATATGTCATGCCTTACTGATACTTGTCTTCTGGGTTCCATGTCAGGCAGCTGCCATGCTGCATATTGATCACAGGGGGTCTCCCACTTGGCATGGGCACCATTTAGAGAATGCTTCACATTTTCTATAATGAATGTAAAGCATTCTCTGATTGGATGACATGATGAGGTAGGGTGGTTATGTTATGTTGTATGCATTGATAATATGACAAAGTGTTCTCTGAATGCCAACCATACTGAGCGAGCAACCCCATGTTCACTATGTATTGAGCAGCTAGTTACCCTTCTGCATAATAGCCACAGGGGGTCGCCCACTTGGCTTGGGCACCACTTAGAGAATGTGTTGCATTTTCCATAATGAATGTAAAGCATTAACTGATTGGATGACATGTTGAGGTAGGGTGGTTATGTTATGTTGTATGCATTGACAATATGACAAAGCGTTCTCTGAATGCTGCCCATACTGAGCGAGCAACCCCATGTTCACTATGTATTGAAAATGTATATTATATAGGGCGCTCTTGTTGGAGCCCAAGCTCTGTAGCTGTAAGATAAAGGTGCCAGATGGATATCAGGGATGGATGGAAGCAGTAACACTGAGGCAGCTCTTCTTAGAGTGGAAGCAAGGCTCTAATGCAGTAACAAGAAAAAGAGAGGAAGGCGCCTCTAAGTGCAATATTAACAATTTATTAGCAGACAATGGAAAATTTGCACTTACAAGATAAACGGTTAAAAAGACTCATCGTGTGGTAATTGGATCCAGGTGGGACATCCAGCCATCCAGCAGCAAGCTATGCCTATAGGATCAGATAGTAGAGTCCAGGATGTGCCTGTGCATCAAAAATGAAGCTTGGAGAGCAGAGTCAGATGTAGCAGGTGAAGGGGGCGGTAATGCATTTTGGAGCATGCTCCGGTGTTGGTCTGAAGAAGGAGCCTATTGAGCATGCTCCAAAATGCATTACCGCCCCTTTCACCTGCTACATCTGACTGATGCACAGGCACATCCTGGACTCTACTATCTGATCCTATAGGCATAGCTTGCTGCTGGACGGCTGGATGTCCCACCTGGATCCAATTACCACACGATGAGTCTTTTTAACCGTTTATCTTGTAAGTGCAAATTTTCCATTGTCTACTAATTAATTGTTAATATTGCACTTAGAGGCGCCTTCCTCTCTTTTTCTTTTCACTATGTATTGAGTAGCTAGTTACCCTTCTGCATAATAACCACAGGGGGTCGCCCACTTGGCACAGGACTTGGAGAACAGTGAGGATCGCTGTAGTATTAGCAGCTACCACAGTGATTCTCTGCTTCCATAGGTATTGGCCAGATATAGAATATGCTTTCTTACTTTGGTAAGTGTAGAGAGGAAAGTATCTCTTATTCGAGTGCTGGCTCAGGCCGAGTGAGACAGGGGTCATCAAAGGCTTCCCTGATTGTGGGAATTTGTATATGTACCCATAAGAGAAATCAAGGGCATACTGCACAGCAAAAGGGTAATGCCGTGCTACTGCTGCAAAGATGCCATCTATACCACAACCCCCAGCAACAGTTAGTACTTTTAACAAGTCTAAGTAATAAGTAACTTGTTTATTTTCCAGAAGCTTGTGTAAAGCCATAAATATGTATACTATTCTCAGCTATTAATGTTTTTCCTAAAGAAAGGATAGCCCAGTGCATAGCAGCTGTAAGTTTGTATTCCAGAAACAAGTTTTCTTTGCATCACGCCAACAGCCCAACTTGTCCAATCATACTTAAAAAGAAAAAGAAAATCTGTGATGGACAAACGTTGTGACATATTCTGTCCTTCCCTTTATCTTTATAGACTATGTTAGTGGAGGAGAACTTTTTACTCATCTCTATCAGCGGGATAACTTCTCTGAAGATGCTGTACGTTTTTATTCTGGAGAGGTTATTCTGGCTATTGAACACCTACACAAGGTGAGACCGTGTCTACCTTGCGTTATGCAGGGAAACCTTTACTGCAGTTCATATGATGTCTTCTCTCTATATATATATATATATATATATGACTGGTATAATGACAGGGTGTGTTTTTACTCTACACTTCTTTCTAGTTGGGTATTGTGTACCGTGACATTAAGCTGGAGAACATCTTACTGGACAGTGATGGTCATGTGGTGCTGACAGACTTTGGCTTAAGCAAGGAATTCATGTCTGAAGAGGTGAGAATTCGTTGGTTTTTAGATCTTCCACTTACATTCACCAATCTAGAGGTATATATTACAAATACAGTCATGGCCGAAATTGTTGGCACCCTTGATATTTTTCCTGAAAATCAAGTATTTCACACAAAAAAGGTATTGCATTAACACATGTTTTGCTATACACATGTTTATTCCCTTTGTATGTATTGGAACAAATATAAAACAGAGGCAGAAAAGCAAATATGACATAATGTCACACAAAACCCCAAAAATGGGCTGGACAAAAGTATTGGCACCCTTAACTTAATATTTGGTTGCACACCCTTTGGAAAACATAACTGAAATCAGTCGCTTCCTATAACCATCAATAAGCTTCTGACACCTCTCACCCGGAATTTTGGACCACTCTTCCTTTGCAAACAGCTCCAGGTCTCTCTTATTGGAAGGACACCTTTTCCCAACAGCAATTTTAAGATCTCTCCACAGGTGTTCAATGGGATTTAGATCTGGGCTCATTGCTGGCCACTTCAGAACTCTCCAGCGCTTCTTTGCCATCCATTTCTGAGTGCTTTTTGACGTATGTTTGGGGTCATTGTCCTGCTGGAAGACCCAGGATCTTGGACGCAAACCCAGCTTTCTGACACTGGGCCCTACAGTGCGACCCAAAATCCTTTGGTAATCCTCAGATTTCATGATGCCTTGCACACAGTCAAGGCACCCAGTGCCAGAGGCAGCAAAACAACCCCAAAACATCATTGAACCTCCACCATATTTTACCGTAGGTACTGTGTTTTGTTCTTTGTAGGCCTCATTCCGTTTTCGGTAAACAGTAGAATGATGTGCTTTACCGAAAAGCTCTATCTTGGTCTCATCTGTCCACAAGACGTTTTCCCAGAAGGCTTTTGGCTTACTCAAGTACATTTTGGCAAACTGTAGTCTTGCTTTTTTATGTCTCTGTGTCAGCAGTGGGGTCCTCCTGGGTCTCCTGCCATAGCGTTTCATTTCATTTAAATGTCGACGGATAGTTCGCGCTGACACTGATGCTCCCTGAGCCTGCAGGACAGCTTGAATGTCTTTGGAACATGTTTGGGGCTGCTTATCCACCATCCGGACTATTCTGCGTTGCAATCTTTCATCAATTTTCCTCATCCGTCCACGACCAGGGAGATTAGCTACAGTGCCATGGGTTGCAAACTTCTTGATAATGTTGCGCACTGTGGACAAAGGCAAATCTAGTTCTCTGGAGATGGACTTGTAACCTTGAGATTGTTGATATTTTGCCACAATTTTGGTTCTCAGGTCCTCAGACAGTTCTCGTCTCCTCTTTCTGTTGTCCATGCTTAGTGTGGCACAGACAGACACACAATGCAAAGGTTAAGTGAACGTCTCTCCTTTTTATCTGCTTTCAGGTGTGATTTCTATATTGCCCACACCTGTTACTTGCCCCAGGTGAGTTTACAGGAGCATCACATGCTTGTAACATTCTTATTTATCCGCAGTTGTGAAAGGGTGCCAATACTTTTGTCCAGCCCATTTTTGGAGGTTTGTGTGACATTATGTCGAATTTGCTTTCTTTCCTCCCTTTTTTTGTTTTGTCCCAATACACACAAAGGGAATAAACATGTGTATAGCAAAACATGTGTTAATGCAATACGTTTCGTGAGAAATACATGATTTCCTGGAGAAATATCAAGGGTGCCAACAATTTCGGCCATGACTGTATATGTAAACCATATTCACATGAATGAAGTCTTAGAATAATTTATAGTTTGGTCTTATGTAGTAGAAAATTATTGAGGCAAGCTGTAGGAGAGTATATAATTTCCGTATGTAAACTGCAGAAATAAAATAAAGCATGAAAATGAGGTATTCCACAAAACTGAGGGGTCAAGGATCAGCTGGCTGTAAAGGTCCAAACACCTTGACAGATGCTGACCTACTATTAGATGATCATAGTCCACGGCACTGCTCACAAGCAAACCTGTGTCTTCCTGTGTCCCATGAACAACAGGCAGCAGATGCTGCCCTTCAGACTGTGTATTAATTCAGCAGAATATGAGAGTCATGAGCCCTTTCTCTTTTTGTTCAAATATATAGAGGTAACAAAGGCAGAGCTGTGACTCACATTCAGTTTAAAACACTGAAATGCATTCTAAACGTTGGCAGTTTATTCAGTACTGCAAAATATCAGTACAAATTCTGACTAATGTACCACAAGTTCACTCTTCTAAGAAAATGCTCTCAAATGTTACCATCATGAATTAATTCCTTATACATTGTGTAAATGTTTTTTTTTAGTATATGTAATGTTGATTACGTTTTATAGACTGTACTCCTGTGTCTTTTTTGTGCAGTGTGAACGCACGTATTCTTTCTGTGGCACAACTGAATATATGGCACCAGAAATAATCAGAGGGCAGGGAGGTCATGGAAAGGTGAGTCAGTATAAATGTTAGCCCATTAAAAAACCTATATTCCTTGGAATGCCTGTGTCATAATTATATTTTGTCTGTTCTGATGCAGTCAGTGGACTGGTGGAGTCTGGGAATCCTTATTTATGAATTGTTAACAGGGGCATCTCCATTCACATTGGAGGGGGAAAAGAACTCACAGAGTGAAGTGTCCAAGTGAGTGAATTAAATCAGTAAGAAAATAATAAAGGTGTGATGAGGAAGAGTTTATTAAGGAAGTGTTTGGTAGATTTCAGAAAATATGGATACATGTATTTTCTCTTGAGAGTAAAAGACTGAAAGATCGGTAACATTACTGCATGACATGAGAACCATGTTTATCACAGACGGATCCTAAAGATGGAGCCCTCGTATTCCTCATCTTTAAGTTTGGAAGCTCGAGATCTTCTTCAAAAGTTGCTCCGTAAGGATCCAAAAAAACGACTTGGAGCAGAGGGTGCTTTCCAAATTAAGGGACACCCATTCTATAGGGTGAGGAGACACTCTCCAATTGTTTACTTCCTTTAGAATAAAGGACTCATTGTGTGTAGCATGGTTTGTAACCTTTTATTTATCTATAATACAGGGCCTGGACTGGGAAGCCCTGGCTTTGCGTAAAGTCACTCCTCCATTCCGCCCGTCTATACGCAGTGAAACAGATGTCAGTAATTTTTCAGATGAATTTACAAGTTTGGACCCTGTGTACTCTCCAGCAGCAACTCCACCCTCTGGGGCGCGTATATTCCAGGTTTGCCCAGATCTAGTTCTACATGTTCAGAGTTATGAAATTTATGCCGGTTTTGTCCTTTTTACTCTTCCAACATAGATTCCTCCTGTGTTTAACCCTATGTGTAAGAACAACTCCCATGCTGCTGCTTTAGGAAGAATGAGTTTTGTGAATTGTGAGAAATGATTTGTGGGGCACATCCTTGTGCCTGTTACCCACCTATATGGCTATAACCCTATTTTCATATTTCCAGTTATTTGGTTGCGAATTATGAAAAAGAACAATTTCCACCATTTGTGATTTTAAGGGTTAAAGCCCAACTCCAGGAAAAAATTGACCCTTGCAGTGCCATGACTTTCAAGCACATACAGTAGCTTGTTTTGTGTCTTATATTATTATATAACATTGATTATTTAATATTTATGTATTGCATGTGAACTAGTTAGTCCTGATTATATCTTTAATCAAGTTTAATGCAGAACTGAAGCCAAAGCGTTTTTGGATAGAGTAGGGGAGGGTATTAACCACAGTGAATTTTTTGCCATTTGTGTCTCATTAGGGAGTTTTTACTTTCACTTCTTGCCCCTAAGCCACAACAGGAAGTGAGAGGAATTACCTCCAAAATGAGGGATTTTTTTTGTTATTACCAGGGTCATCAGAACTAGTGATAATGGTCACCAAGACAAATAGAATAATGAAATAGAATTAATCTCCCTAACAGGCACACAGACAGTATGAAAACCTGACAGGTTTTGCCTTTGGTTGTACCTAAATCTTTAATGAGATTTTTTGTAGTATTTGTTACCTCTATGGTATCGTCTTTGATAATCACAAGTAGTACAGTCATTTTGGCTTGGTTACCCACCCCATGTACTTTCTTTGATTAGTGCAAATCCATATTTTGTAATACGATTAAGCTTGCCTGCTAGGCTTCATTGGAGGGTGCATTGTATAATACAGCAGGTGTTTACACGGAAAGTAAGCAGCTTCTGATAAAATGCCACAAACCACAAAAATATTTTCTGAGAGTCACATGTGACTAGTAAGTCATTGCTAGGGGGCTCAATGGTATAGAAAACTGTGTGGTGTTGTGTTTGCAAACTATGTATGCTATGTATGCTGTTATGGAAATATTTTCAGTAAGTTAAAACTTTTAGAATATATAGCTTATGCCATCTGTTTTTCAGCAAAGAAATAATGTCTTACAAAAGACTATATGTTTTCTGTCAGCACATATGTAAGCTCCATCTCCTAAGTTTGCTTTGTATGTTTTAGGGTTATTCCTTTGTAGCTCCGTCTGTTCTGTTTGGTGTCAATGCAGCAATGACAGACATGCCTGCCCCATCTGCTGACAAGCCTGCAAGCCCCACACTAACTCTGAGTGCTATGAAGGTAAATACTTACACTCAATGACAAAGTAATTTTATTTTGTTATTAGTTGAAATAAACATGCTTTCAATGACCCCCTTTCTCCGAAGCTGCCTTTTATTGTTTTTGTTGGACTTAATAACATCTCTTTTCACCCCCAGGATTCTCCATTCTTCCAGCAGTATGAAATGGATCTGCAGGAGCCAGCTCTAGGGTCTGGGAGTTTCTCTGTTTGCAGGAAATGTCGCCATCACCAGAGCAAGAAGGAATATGCTGTGAAAATCCTTAGCAAGAGGTGAGCTGTGCTACTTGCCTTATGTAAAAGTACAAATTGCACAATCCTTGTCCCTTTCAAGGCGTGTAATTGTTCACCTGTGATGCCTTCTAGAGTTGCCTTGAGAAAAGGATCAGAGTTCACCTTGTGGCCCCCAGCTGCCTCTGCCGGCATGGACACCTGGAAAACAGCTCATTAAATTTTTTACCATATGCTGTTACCCCAGTGTCCATTTAAAAAAACTATGATTACCATAAGGGGGATCTTTTTGCTGGGTTAGATTAATGGAGTGGGGATATTGTAAATGCTAGCTCAGGCAGCTTTTAGAAGAATGTATTTGCAGTCTACTTTTTCCATGACAACAATTTGTAGGATTTGGGCAAAGTTTAACTGAAGATGAATCAATCAACTCAAATATGAATATATGTTTTATTTACTCGTTTATAATAATAACTAAGCCTGATTTACAGACACATTTTGACACGTGTGGCAAGTAGCAGAATGTTACATTATTTAAAGCAGTGGTTTTCAACCTTTTTTGTGCAAAGGCACACTTTTTTCATGAAAAAAATCACAAGGCACACCACCATTAGAAAATGTTAAAGAAATTTATTGAAAAACTTTTTGACTTGAGGGCCGCAATGGGTTCATATATTGGACCCGGGGGCCGGACCAAGAGTAGATGAATGATGTGTATGTGTCATCCATAGTAAGTATAGTAATATTCCCCCATAGTAAGCATAGTAATTAATCCCCCATATAGTAATTCATCCCCCATAGTAATTCATCCCCCATATAGTAATTCATCCCCCATAGTAATTCATCCCCCCTATAGTAATTCATCCCCCCTATAGTAATTCATCCCCCATATAGTAATTCATCCCCCATAGTAATTCATCCCCCATATAGTAATTCATCCCCCATAGTAATTCATCCCCCATAGTAATTCATCCCCCATAGTAATTAATCCCCCATATAGTAATTCATCCCCCATAGTAATTCATCCCCCATAGTAATTCATCCCCCATAGTAATTAATCCCCCATATAGTAATTCATCCCCCATAGTAATTCATCCCCCATATAGTAATTCATCCCCCATAGTAATTAATCCCCCATAGTAATTCATCCCCCATATAGTAATTCATCCCCCATAGTAATTCATCCCCCATATAGTAATTCATCCCCCATATAGTAATTAATCCCCTATAGTAATTCATCCCCCCTATAGTAATTCATCCCCCATAGTAATTCATCCCCATATAGTAATTCATCCCCCCTATAGTAATTCATCCCCCATAGTAATTCATCCCCCATATAGTAATTCATCCCCCATAGTAATTCATCCCCCATAGTAATTCATCCCCCATATAGTAATTCATCCCCCATAGTAATTCATCCCCCATAGTAATTCATCCCCCATATAGTAATTCATCCCCCATAGTAATTCACCCCCCATATAGTAATTCATCCCCCCTATAGTAATTCATCCCCCCTATAGTAATTCATCCCCCATATAGTAATTCATCCCCCATATAGTAATTCATCCCCCCTATAGTAATTCATCCCCCATATAGTAATTCATCCCCCATATAGTAATTCATCCCCCATATAGTAATTCATCCCCCCTATAGTAATTCATCCCCCCTATAGTAATTCATCCCCCATATAGTAATTCATCCCCCATTGTAATTCATCCCCCATTGTAATTCATCCCCCATAGTAATTCATCCCCCATATTAATTCATCCCCCATATTAAGTCCCCAAGCCCCCCCGTGTCAATTCACTTACCTTTGCTCCGCGCGTTCCTCTCGCCGTTCCGGTGTAGCATGAAAATCTTGTCTCCTATGAGGATCTGTCCCCCTCGACGTATCTGCGCATGTGCCAGTTTCAGGCATTAGCAGCCGATCGGCGATCTCCGGCACATGCGCAGATACGTCAAGGGGGACAGATCATCCTGACAGTATCACGCTCCGCGGGCCGGATTAAAGGGTCCGCCGGGCCGTAGTTTGCCCATTGCTGTTCTAATGATTGATCTATTTGTGAGCCGAGGCCACATGTTTCGGATGAAATTGCAATTTTTCCCACGGCACACCAGACAATATCTCACGGCACACTAGTGTGCCGCGGCACAGTGGTTGAAAAACGCTGATTTAAAGCACAACTCCAGGGGAATTTGTAAAGCCAGTATTTTATCCTGCTAAGAAAATAAATGAATACATTTATATTTTAATTTATAACCCCATCCACCCCACTCCAGTTTTTTACTAGTAACTTTATGTCATGTATATGTTCTGTTCTGGAGTATTTTTTTTAAAGATATGTTTATTAGAAAAAAAGCACAAAAAAAAAAAACCAAACAAGGCTCAGGGAACAAAAAATCAGTAAATAAATCTCGGCCTAATGCCCGTTACGGTCAGTCTAGGTTATACAAGCTAATATTAGCAGTAATGTATAGTTGGTGCAGCTAGTAACAACTGTCAATACACAGGAGTCATCTAACAAAGTAATTAGGCAATTACATTCCTGGTAATTATTCATTTACATTCCTGGTTCTATAGAGGCATTAGTAAGAGGACTATCTAGCCAGTGGTGCCACACTTTCGTGAAGGTTGGGGTTTTTTCCTAAGTTCGAGGGTCAGTTTATATAATTACCATTAACCATATCCTTCTACATCTCTATTGATAAATGTGGGGTATATAGGATATAAGGATAAACTTTTTGGCATAAGTATACAATATGTGTAATAGGTTCTTGTATTGTTTAGAAAAGTGTAAGACACCCAAAATTCTCAGCAAACAGTTCTTAGGATGTACAATATTGGGTAGGCTAAGGCAGTAGAAAGTGTTCACTTCCGACCAAAAAGTGGAAACCAGTGTGCAATTCCACCCACGATTAAGAAAATTGGCATCTGCTCCATAACCTTTTGAAGCAGACTGCTAATTATTGAAGGCCCAGTCTGTGCACTCTGATCGGGGCGTAGTGACTTTTATGAAATAGTTTTAAATGAACAATTTTATCCCTAGAGGAGATAATAGTTTTACTGTAAGTGGGCTCAAATTCCGACCAATCTGACTCACCGAAAGGGAGATCTGGCAAAGTCTATCTCAATTGGGCTTGAGAATACCTAGGTCGGGACTCAGCACAGAGTGAGAAATAATAGTCAGGTATCAATCTATCGGGCCGGAAGTACGTAACAGTTTCTTGAGGGGGATACAAAAGTGGGATTGGCTAAAGAGCCGAATTGCTTCCTGACAACATGACGGAATTCTTAGTAATAAAACAGGTGAGTGCCTCAAAAAGTTATATTCATCTTTGAGTTGTGAAAAACATTTAAACTCCTGTCCCTCATATAATTGATGCAGGTATTTAACTTGCTTAGTAGACCAACTCTGGAACTGGAAGGGGGAAAAGCTTCACCTAAGCAGGGTTAAGCCAGAGCAAGGCATTAGGGAAAGTTTGCCAAGATTCTGCATGCATTTTTAAGAAGTTTTTTTTTTTTTTATAAACCATTTTTTTCTTTGATACTGCTATATGGAAATTACTGCTTATTGCCCTTGGCTGTCTAGCAGTTTCCAGGTCAGTTACCCTTGGTGGATACCTGTGGATACCTTGGTGGATACCCAGACCCCACTATGAAATATCTGCTTTGGGCACTGGATCTTGCATCAGTGTAGCGTAGTGGCAGAGTGCTATACAGGTCCAAGGTTGTGGCCCATTTCTATGGTCTCCAGACCCTACAGACTACTTTATGTGTATGCCCACTGCGTGGCAAAGCCTGGATCTCTAGTAGGCCCAGCATCATGGATAAGGTAAGGCATGGTTTCCCCGTATGTTGGCACCTTTTCCTGGTTTTTACTATCACAATCCAAAAGTCATAGCACACTATGGTGTTTTACGGGCAAAGGATTTAGGGGGATCCTGCCATTTCAATTCTCAATAAACCCCATACAGTTTCTATTGAGGATGTTCCCTCTTTTAAGGATTCTGTTGATAGGTGTTTTGAAGCCTTCATAAAGGCCTTATTTGCTCTTGCAGGTCCAGCCCTGCAGCCTTCAATTGCTGCCATGTCTATTTGCCAGACTAACTGGACAAAACAAATGAATAGAGACCAGGGACCTGTACGTTCTTGACCAGAACCTAGCCCTGAGTAACCTCTGCTTTATCCATTTCTTCCAGAAACCTCTTGCCTCACAATCCCAAGATTTTTCACATGATCTCTTAAGTTCTACCAGGTGAATGATCAGGTCTCAGCTTATACAAACTTCAGCCACAAGGTGCTTCAAGCTGTTATCTGAGTGTTTTTTCAGATTCTTTAATCCTTTGTGTTTCTTATGGGCCTGTTGACAGTCCAACTATGTTGTTAACTGAAGCAATCAGTCCCTGGGCTTTAAATAGATAAAAAAGATCACTGAGAGCACCTGCACACAGAATATACTGCTTACCTGCCTCTGATCCCCCAGGAACCTCATATGAGCTGTCCAACCTGGTTTAGGTTTCCAGCATACTAGCAGAATGTCAGTGATTGCTGTTCCTGCAGTGGCTTGGTTGATTATTGCCTGGCCGCATAGTGTTGAGCTGAGAATTGCTGCATATTGTAGCCAGAGAGCCTGCAAGACATAGTGGTGGTTAGAGAGAAGCTGAACTCAACAAAATATAGGCAGGTAGAGGACTTCATTTATACCAGCAGATGTTTTCTTTTGAGATGATTCTTTCATTATTTGGCTGCACCATAGCCACTGCAACTGTTTTATGCAGTTTTCAAATTTGGGGACTCCTCAGCAGAGCCTTGGGGGAAATGTATTCAGACCCCGCCTGTTGGTAGATTTAGAGTTGGCCTGTAATGTTGCTTTGCAATAGATCCTGCTGTGGGCACTCCTCTTGGTATGTGGTGCAGCATGTAGTGTAGGTCCAAAGCTGTGGTCTGCCTGTTAAACATTTCGCCAACAATATCTCAATGAAATCAGCTATTTTATTATCCCTTCAATACTGGGCTCCTCTGTTGAGGGAAAACTCAGCAAGAATCCAGTCGGACAGTGCCACAGCTGTGGCCTACATAAGTTATAAAGGAGGCACCAGAAGTTGCACTGCTCTAGGGGAAACAGACTTGTTCCTCTCCGGAGGCCCCTTCCGGATCATCTGGACCTTATGTCCAAAGAGAAAGTGTCCCATCCTGCTACACAGTCACTAGCTTTAACACCATGACATGACTGAAGCCACAGTCCTGAAGAATAGGTGCCTTTTAGATTCAGTCATCCCTACCCTCCTGAAGGCTAGAAAGTCAACTTGTCCTAAAGTCTACAATTGCACTTGGAAGGTCTACTTTACTTGGTGCGAGTCGAAGAACTTTTTTACCCTCTCTTTGACCCATTGTTGTTTGCTGTGTCCATTAGAGTACAGTGCTGCACACAGAACCCCCCCGTTCTAATGATCTCCCAATTGCTTGCTGCAAAACTCAGTCTATTGGGAGGACTTGCAAAACCTTACTTTCCTTGGAAGAAGACATTTTGTAGAGGGATTTTTAAATGCTACTAGTCAGCCAGTACCTACAACAACATAAATGTAGAGTTCTAGCAGGAATACTGTAACTAAATGAGTTGGTGTTTTTGCATTTGGTCACCTGTTTGCTTTTTTGTCTAGGATGGAGGCGAACACTCAGCGAGAAGTGGCAGCTCTGAAGTTGTGTCAGGGACACCCTAACATTGTGAATCTTCACGATGTACTACATGACCAGGTCTCAAGAACTTTTATGTCTTTTTTCCATTTGTTATGTAACTAGCAAATTGACTATCCAGTTAGTCTCCACCTGTAGCAGACACTGTTGCTTCCACAAAACAATCAAGTTAAACATGGACGCAATATGGTTGTTAGATTTGGGCACACATGCTACAATATCCTGGGTTTCTAAGTATGTGTATTTATGTAGTCAGCTGACACCCTAGCGATATACAAATTTCAAAAACAATTGCCTAGAAAAAAATACAATCCTTAAGACTCCCTAGACAGAAAAGTTTCTCATGGAGACTAGCAGAAGATAAGACATCTGTCTACTATAGTGAGCACTGGTGCAGGGGTAGTAAAAAGATAATTCCTTTTTCTTTCTATGCTCATATCACTTGGTCATTAATTCCTACACTGACTTATTATTCCCTGCTAACTCTAACTCTAACAAAGCTGTTTAGCCATTGCCATGTATATGTTTGTTTTTTTTCAAGATTTCCAAGATTTCAAGATTCTTTAGTTTCCTGAATGCATCAGATTCTACCATTAGTCACTTCAGAGTTGAAGAATGAAAAATGAGTTCTGATTAGCTGCTATAGGTTACTGTATTTTGTATATTTAAAAAAAAAAATTGTTACACTGAACAGTATGTGTGGAAAGAAGAATCAAAATAAATATTTACAATTCCCTAAGTTTTATGTCATTAAAAATATTGCAAATAAAGAAATCTGATCTGCCAGAAATCCAGTAAAATAAGTAAATGCACTGAAATCCAAAGCAGTGATTTTAGCCCTTATCAGTTCTCTACTCCTAGACTACAGAACACCCCCCCCCCCCCCATCTCTATAATATAAGAGTTCTGTAGCCAAGGAGGACAGGACACTATTGGTATCATGATTATCTTAAGTAACATTCTGTGGAAGGAACAGAAGTATTGTTTTTTTTGCTGCCAGAATACTGCCACCAATAAAATATGCTCCCTAGAGGAAATCACAGGGAAAGAATACTTTTTCCACTAATTTTGTGAGCCATAATGCTCCAAGAAGATGTCACAGCATTGGTGATAATAGTTTTGTTTGATAAAGATCATGTTGGGAACTTTTAGGTAAATCCCTTTTCTTACTCTTCCATTGAGGGACACAGGAAATCTTTCACCTTTGTATTCTACTGCTGCCTACAGGAGGATTGGACACTGGCAAACTAAAAACTGTAGGCCAGCTCAAGATAGCCCTTCTTATTAGCAGCATGTCTCATTTTTTGCTAGTGTCCAAGGAGGATGGACATCATGTTATTTTAAACTCCGCTGTTAAAAGGCTAAACTATTTTTTGCTAGTACACTTTCCTAATTTGTTCACATTTTTTCTTCAGTCAAGACTTTTCTCTACAATTGTAACTGTATAGTGTGGCTGTTCTCAGCTTAGCTTTTTGAGTACCATTTCCGGTCATCTGCTGGATTAGGCATTGCATGGGCATTAGGCATTATCCTGGAAGTGACGGGGTTCGCATAAGGTGATTTTCAGATTTCATTGTTTCAAGTTAGTTGCAGAGTGCTTTATAGGTCTGGAGCTGCTGGCATTGCCTTAGCTTACCGGGGCTTGCAGATGAGCAATGTGGAACGCCAGTCCTCAGCTCATTCCTGCTGCGTGCCTACAGTGATTTTCGTTGCCTCAGGCCATCTAAACTTTACCTGCTACCAGATATCTGGGACTCATGAGTACCTTGCCAAGCTCCCTTAACCTCCCTGGCGGTATGATTATTTCAGATTTTTGGTGCTGAAAGCGGTACCATTTTTTTGCATGGAAATATGTATTTTTTTTATTGTAGGCTGTAATTTTTAGGAAAAACTCACTGAAATCTGTCCGAACAAGAGTCTAGTAAACATCCCGGGTATGATAAAATTTGAAACACAAAATCATAAATTATAATTTTAATAAATAATCATAAAAATAATATAAAAATAAAAAATTTAATTCAATAATATAATCAAACCAAAAACACTGAAATGTGAAATATAGCGCCAAGTTCGCACATTGCTGAGCTCAGTCGCAAAATCGTTTTCAGTGTCTGATGACGAATTTCCCCACGAATCATTATCACTCAATTCTGCAAGTGGTTCTGATTTACTATCGCTGTTCTCTAGCTGATCTAAACCGCTTTTGACCTAAAGGGACACTTTTTGGACGCCATGGACATTTCTCAGTTTCCAGGCAGAAAGAACAGACAAAATGCAGGCAGGGCGCAGGACAAAGCACTAGGGACAATATGTATGTGAAATTGGTTGAGACAGCAATGTTTTACTATGTAAAATGTAAAAAAAAAAAAAAAGACATTTTTTAAAATTTTTACATTTCCCGCCGCCGCCGGCGGCGGCACCCATACGTCCCGACGTCACAGGGACAGGACACAGAAGCCGGATGCCGGCATCGGCCGGAGGAGATGGCCGGGGACGCTGCAGGGGACACATCGCGGGAGCGCAGTGTAAGGTAAGTGAAGAACACATGCCGGAGCAGTGCCGCATGGTATTCCCGAGTGTAGCTCGGGGTTACCGCTTTTGGTACTGAAATGTTACCCCGAGCTACACTCGGGAATACCGCCAGGGAGGTTAAGTTAAGGTGCCTTACCACTATGCGTGTGCAACATGTCTATTTCTAGACACAGAGGGACAATTCCACTGCAACTGGTAACCCCAGCTCACACTCCACTAATGATTCCAGAAAGATGTTTATTCTATGTCTTTGCCTGCAACCTGGAATCATTGTAACCTCTGCTCATATAGTCTAAATCAGCATCAGAGTTCACTCCCAGCTCTGCCAGATGGGGATGAGTCCCCTGCCTTATCAACTACAGTCTCTAACACAGTCATGCAGGACCAAGTTCCTGGCTGGCTCTGATGGCAGAGGTTTTAGGCGTGCTCCCATGCCTTCCTATGTAAATTCTATGGCTAATCTGCCCATGGACCTAGTGGCTTCTGGGCACTGATTATATCTGATTCTAATTCTGAGTAACTGCAGTCTCTGCTTATTGAGATTATCTTTGAGGAGTCATAGTCTTCTGCTGTTACTCCAGCATTAGAAAAGACTGCTTTTGCTCTTATTTACATGGTGCACATCTCTCTGAAACTGGAAGGTCTGCTGCCCCCAGTCTTGGTCTTTCTGAGCTTAAGTGTAAGAAGACTAGGGAAATGTCTATACAATCCTCCCCCCTTTATTTCTTTACTCTTGGAGTATGTGTGCTAGCCCCCCCCCCCCCTCCCTTCTCCCTTCTCCCAAATTTAGTTCTTTTAACACCTGCAAAGTCTGGGGTAAACAAAATTCTAAAACCAAAAAATAATTTATTGTCATAATATTTTTTTAATTGTTTTGGATTCCTGGATAGTTTGCCTTTCAGACACCTTGGGGCAGATAGTGATATTCCAGGAATGCAAACTAAACTTTAATCTCCTGCCCCATCTTTGGCTCATCTTTAAATTTCATGTGTAACCACATAGATTATCAGACCTACCTCTGCCCATTAGAGTCTCCTGGATCAAGGTGTCTTTGTCCCAGTTTCTATGTCAGAACATTTTCAGTTGTTTTCAGTTGGAGTTGTATTCCATCCTGGTCACTGTTTCAAAAGAGAACCTCTGCCTTTTTTCCAGCCTTTAAGTTCATCAATGTTGCATGGTGTCCACCAGATTAACCATTCCTTCTGCTGAGGAACTTTCTGGCTTTTGTGGACAACCAGGTTACTTACCTGCAGGTCCCAGCCCTTCTAGTACTCTGGCTTTACAGTGCTGCCTCTGCACCTGGAGCATTCCCCAGTGTTAGCCCTAATGCATTTTCATGGCATTTCCACTGAGGGATACTTAGCTGGCCTTCTGTGGAGGAAACAGTCAGTTCAGGCTGTTCAGATGTCTCAATGATTTACATGGATTCTAAATTTTTGGAAATAAGTGCTGGTTTCATGTGCAGGCAGCTGAGCAGATTGCTTTTTCCAAAGAAAATGTTTCAGTCTGCCCAATCTCATATCCTTGCTGTTCAGTCTGAGAGTTGTCTGCATCTCAGCTGTTGCATGAGAGATGTGGGTGTGTGGGTTTGCCCCTGTAGATCAGGTAGTCCTTGATCTTCCTGCTCTGGAATCAGGAAAGTCCTTCCTTTCCCATCTTCTTGAAGAGCCATTCATCAGACCTCAGCTTGTCTGGCTGGGGGGGGACATGGTTACCCTGCTATTGCTAGGTCCCTGATCTTCTGAGAATTCTCGTCTCCTGGTCTACATCCTGGACTTTTTAGGAGATGTGGTTGTTTCTATATCACTGGATCATTCCGTTGACAGGTCACCTGATCTTTATTAAGCTGCCATGTCATGGAAAGAATGTACTTCATTGAGGAGGAACAGGAGGTCTTACTGCAAGAGGTAGTTTGGATCCTGATTTGAGCAGAACTTTGCATTCTAGTTCTTTTTAAAGTGCTCTTCTAAGTTGTGAACAGTTGGTGGATAGATTTCCCAGTTGGTTACATCTGAACATTTGGGAGCAATCCGTATACCTGAGTGCTTTCCAAAATCTGCACAGATGGAGAGCTCATGACATGGACTCCTTTCTAGCCTCAACTGCAGGCTGATTGGGTTTGTTTCAAGGTGCAATAATCCTCTAGCAGTAGCAGTGGATGTTCTGGTGACTCCCTAGGGTTTATGTACACAAATCTAGGCTATTTCCCCTTTTACCTTTCTGCCTCATCTGCTTCACAGACTTAAGATGAACAGTATTCTGGTGATCTTCCTCGCTCTGGTATGACCCAGGCAGATGTTCTTCACTAACTTGATAAGGCTTCTGACTTTTACTGAGTGCTAACAGATGATTGGATTTGTATAATCTGGAGCATTTCTAAATCTGTGACACTTTCAATGCTAGGAAGGATTTCCAGCAAGTTCTAGCATGCGTTCCAGATAGGTTGGAATAGAGCTCAGCTCTCAACACTTTCAAATTTGGTTCTTAATGGCTATTTTTGGTTTAGAATGTTAACTTTTTTTACAACAGAAATTAAAAATGTAACTTTATATCCCTTGCCTAAGTTTTTAAATGGTTCCTATGTGCCTCACATCATTTGTGTCTTGTAACTCCTTAGGATCAATAAAGGGTTCCTTTCCTGGTAATCTTCGCCTCTGGGAGGTGAGCATCTTACATGACAGCCTTTCTATGCATGAAACCCTAATTCTGTTTGGTCCTGTAATGGTATCAGGCAAGTTGAAATCTTGCTTTTGACCTTGGGCAGTTTCTAATCTTTTCCTCAGCCAGGACACCGTTCTTTGGTCCTTCTGTTCAACTCCATTTTTCTGAGAGAAGCTTCTCTTGCTTGTTTAAATAAAGTGCAAGCTGTGAGTCTCTATCTTTGAACTACTGATTCCCTTCTCAGATAAACCCTGTAGGGTGATCTGGTTTCTCTCTCCACCATTCTGGCTGGTTCATGTAGACCAGTGTCCAAGCTTTTGGTCTTAAGGATTGTTTCTTTCTTTTCCCTGTCAAGACATGCATCAGCTTGCTACGTGAGTGTTCTTGATCCTTCTGCATCAAGCATTGATTACCCAGTGCATGGTTTCCACCTGACCTTCTGTTCTCACATTTTTTCTATCAGTTGGAGGTTGCAGGCTGATCTAATGCCATCTCCAGGTGTATAGTCCTTCAGGCCGCTGTTGAGCTGCAGGAAGTCCCTAGTTTTTCCTATTGGGGCTATTTGTTTTTCCTGTTGGGCTTATTAGTGACTTTTTTGCTGTGGGCTTGCTTTTGGACATTTTAAAGGTGAAAGACATTCGGTGTCCCTCAGTGGATGAGAAAGTACATAGAATTGTTATCTTCACTATACATTAAGAGGCACAGGTCCCACCCCTCTGTGTTATGGTTATGCTCTCAGTACTGCTTACTACAAAACTAAAGCAAGCTGGCTGTAGGAGGGGTTATCCTGGGATGTCTTACAGTATTTTTATTTGCCAGTGTCCAATTTATCTGTAAGCAGCAGCACAACCTGAATGCTTGGAGTTGATTTAATAAAGGCACATATACTATGCTCTTTGCAAGTGCTGTTGTTCCAGAGCTTAGTAAATAAGGTAAAGCTTCACTTGGCAAAGAATACCCAATCACATGCAAGGAATATGAAAAAAAACTGTATTTTTGCATGGGATTGGATGATGGAAGCCAACAGAGCTTCCCCTCATTCAAAAACTGTGGAGCAACTGCACTTGCAAAGTGTAGTCTGTTTGCCTTTATTAAATGAACCCCTTTGTGTCCCTCACAAGATTCCAAGAAACAGATTTTCAGTGAGTACAAAAATCCTATTTTAGGCTTGAATTCGTTCTTCTTAGTAAACTGTTAATTGGTTTCTTTTGTCAAGAGTACTGCAGTAATTTAACTTTGCACCCCAAGGACCAGAATAACTATAGTTGTTAAAAGTGGCAGGAAGCATTTACCTAGAAGTACCACTTCCAGGTAAATCAGACTTTTCACATTTTAAAAATTTTTTATATTTAGGTGCAAATGCAAAGATAGAATACATCTATGGAAATATTTTATATAGTGTTTCCAATATATTCCTTCTGCATAAATGTGTTAAAATATATCTCCACAAACCACAATAATCAACTGAGTTGCAGACAACTGATTCTAAAATGAATCAGAGAGATGACTGTGATTTATAAATTATGGAAGAAGGGCTGAAACTATGGAAGGAGCTAATGATTTGTGTTATAAACGCATATAATATATCTTTATGCAGCCAAGCGGTTAAGATTGGACTCACACTCTTGCAAAGTATTAATGCATGAGCGTTAATGTGCATGGCATTAAGGCAACCCAATTAATGGGACACTTAAAACACCAGAAACATACACCTTTTTTGAAAGGTGCATACACAGTATTTATAAAGCGCCAATAGTTTTGTACATTAACAGAACAGTACAATGCCTGATGCGAGGGCCCTGTAGCATGTTATCATGCATTTGATGTGCTGCAACGCAGGTGCATTGGAATGCCCTTCAGATTGAATGGCTCTGCAGCACACAAACATGCATTGCCGCAGCGAAATAGTGTAAACCCTGCCTAACATGAATAAGTGGTGTAGTTCTTTACCACATAAAAATCCACCTTAGAATATATTTATTAACTTGCCATTTTACCTCAATTTTTGTTTTTTTTTTATTTGTTATTTTCTATATGGTAGTATCATTCATATGTTGTGATGGAGCTTCTGGATGGTGGGGAGTTGCTGGACCGAATAAAGAAACAATCACGTTTCAGTGAAATTGAAGCAAGTAGTCTAATGCGCAGCCTTGTGAGTGCTGTATGCCACATGCACGAAGCTGGAGTCGTCCACAGAGACCTTAAACCTGAGGTGAGGATGAATTAAAACTAATCATAGGAAAATCAATGATAGAAATGGCTAAACCTATTGCTCATAGTATGCTTTTCCTTTATACAGAATCTTCTGCTGTCATCACCTGGTGAAGATGCTGTTTTGAAGGTGATAGATTTTGGGTTTGCCAGGCTCCGACCTCCAGGGTCACGGCCGCTTCATACTCCTTGTTTTACACTGCATCGCTGCCCCAGAACTGCTGTCACATCAGGGCTACGATGAGTCATGTGATTTATGGAGCTTGGGTGTAATCATGGTAGGTGTTACTTGACCTTAAATACCTTGCAAGAGTCTAATCATAAGCTATATTGCTGCGGTTTTATTACCTTGAATTCTGTGCACTGTTATTATGGAATGTTTTTTAACCTTTTTCTTTCTTGCTCATTAACCCCCCTGGCGGTATTCCCGAGTGTAGCTCGGGGTTAACTTTGAGTACCAAAAGCAGTAACCCCGAGCTACACTCAGGATTACCCTGCAATGTTGTGCAGGGATTCCCTCTTGCACTTACCTTGTCCTTCGCTCCCGCGATGTCCCCCCTGCAGCGTCCTGTGCCCTGCTTGCATTTTTACTGTTCTTTCTGCCTGAAAACTGAGAAAAGTCCATGGCGTCCAAAAAGCGTCCCTTTTAGGTCAAGAGTGTTTTTAGACCAGCTAGAGAACAGCAATATTAAATTAGACCACTTGCAGAATTGAGTGATAATGATTTGTGGGGAAATTCGTCATCAGACACTGAAAACGATTTTGCGACTTTGCTCAGCGATGTGTGAACTTGGCGCTATATTTCAAATTTCAGTGTTTTTGGTTTGATTACATTATTGAATTACATTTATTATTATTATATTATTATTTTTTTATGATTATTAATTATATTATAATTTATGATTTCATGTTTCAAATGTTATCATACCCGGGATGTTTACTAGACTCTTGTACGGAAAGATTTCAGTGAGTTATTCCTAAGATTTACAGGTCTACAATAAAAAAAGAACATATTTCCATGCAAAAAAATGAATCGCTTTGAGTACAGAAATACTGACATAATCAGACCGCTAGGGAGGTTAAGGGACACAGAAGTCAATTATTCAGAGACAGTTTGGTTTTACTGTCACCTACAGGAGTAATTGGACACTTGAAAACAAAAAAAGCTCTTGGTGAGCCAAGTAAACCCCTCCCACTCCTATCATGCTTCAGCTTTCTTGCTAGTGTCCTAGGAGAATGGATGTCTTTTCTCTATTTAGAAAAGTTTCTTTATCTTAAGATTTCTTGTGCATGCTGCTGTGCTCATCTCTTTTTTTCAGTTATCCAAATAGGTGTTTTCTCACCTGTACTTGGTCAGAAAGCAATTTCGGATACCTGGGTAAAAGATGTGATGTCCATAGGCTCCAAGCTAGAGTTTTGCTCTTTTTTGCTGTTATATCTCCATGCTGTTCTAGGAGATCTTTTGAGCCAGGATGTCATTGCCATTGTTCACACAACAGAAAGCTTTTAGGGTTTTTTACTCAAACTTTTTCACTTTTCCAAAACCAAATTGGGTTCATCAACCCCATTTTGGATCTGAAGGTTTTAAGTCTTTTAATTAAAGTCCAGACATTTTCCATGGAATCCATTTTGTCATAGATTTTCTAACCTCTATGGATGTCTCCATCTTTCTACCCCATCAGTGTTACTCAGTTTTGTTGTGGGCACCTAATACTACTAGTTCATAGCTGTTCCTTTTGGTCTGTTTGCTGCACTCTGAGTGTTCATCAAGGTCTTACCACCGGTACTAGCCTTATTATGCTCCCAGAGCATTCCCACTGTTGGCTACTAGGACAATTTCTTGTTGAGGAACAGTCAGCTCTGGTTGACAATGAGAGAACACCCTCCCCCTAAACAGGTTCATTTGGATCATAAACCTTCAGAAATTGGAACTGGAACAGACAAAACATTTAGAGTATCTCATCTTAGACATAGTTTAGGCCAAAGTCATCCCCAATTCTTCTTATGACCCTCTGCTCCCAGAGATGGATTTTACAGTCCAGTCCAGGAACTATTCAACTACAATAATGCATAGAAGTTCTGTACTTAATGGTAGCTTCCTTCAAGGCATTTCCATTTGCTTAGTTCCACTCCAGACCCCTACAATACAACATTCTGTCATTGTGAGGTATATCCGTTCAGTCTCTAGACAAACTGATTCACCTAATACCATAAATAAGGTAATCTCTGGTTTGGTGGCTAACAGATCCAGCTCTGTAGTTGAGGAAGTCCTTCCTCCCTTTGGTTAAGATCTTTGTACAGGGTTCTTCCCATGTAGCTCCTCCTGTTCAGCCACCAGTGACTGTGGGATGTGAATTCCCTTCTCTCAGCTCTTCAAAAATGCATTTTGAACATAATGGATATTCCCCTTTCTACCTTCATCCACAAGGTTAATTTCTTTGTTGCTGTCACCTCTGCGTGGCATGTATTGGAGCTGGCAGCCTTATCCTATAAAGAACGCTAGCTGGTCTTACACATGGATAAGGTGATGTTAAGCATTCTTTCGTTTTAAGGTGATTTCCACCTTTCACTGCAACCAGGAAATTGTTTTGCCATCTCATTCTGGCCAGCTCCAAGACATCAGATGGAAATTTCCCTTCACTACCTGAATGTAGTTTGTGCTGAACAGGTTTACCTCTCAACCACTGCTTCTATTAGAAAAATTGATTCTCTCTTTTTATCATTCTGGATGGTCCCTGTGAAGGTAAACTAACTTTTTGCTCTTCTAAGGTGGGTTAGACAGATTGTAGAAAGGGCATATGGTCCTTCAGGCAGCTGTTTGAGCTGCAGTCTTCTCCAGGTTCTATTGGTTTTGTGATGCGGGCCTATTCCAGTGTCCCTTAATGAAAGAGAACGAAAACAGGATGTTTGTACTTTCTATAAAATCGGTTTCTTGCAGTTCATTAAGGGTCACAGGTCCCACTTTTTTGTGTATGCATTCTATTCCTAATACTGCTTTTCTGCAAAACCAAAGCATGATGGTTGTGGTTTATATCTGGCTAACCAACAGCTTTTTCGTTTGCCAGGGTACAATTCCCCTTATAGGCAGCAGTATTACCCAACTGTCTCTGAATAACTGAATCCTGTGTCACTTAATGAACTTCAGGAAACATATTTTACAGTTTTTGTTTAAGAGCCGATGAAGAATACAAAAAATCTGCACAATGACCTAATTTCTAATCATATGAACACTACCCACAACCATCTGCTGCTATTGCCAGAACTGTAGCAGAAAGTAATGGGTACACAAGCTGTTGTTGAGAACATTTGTGTTCATCAACATGCACAGTTAGAGACAGAGACTACCGTTTCTGTATTCTTGTGTATACTGCTTGGAGATCTGTTTCTGTGAAGGAATTACACTATATATAGTATAATATTATTGTATACCACGAATCTCTGCCATTTTTTGTTTGCAATCCTGTACTCTTGTTCGACCACACTTCTTTCATTTGTTGATCTATAATAAGTGTTCCATATTGGAAACAGCTGATGGCCTGCGCTGGGATGACCCCTAGGGTGTGAAACCTATAAATTACAAAATAGTGATTAAACCAATATCTTAAAAATGAATGAATAAAAAAATATGGCTGCTGCCTCTACATAGGATATTATCCATTACAAATGATGTTATAAAACAGAAGCACTGCCTAATTGTGCATATTAATCGTCATATGTGTAAATCACCATGCAGAAACAATTGAAATATAATTAAAAAAACGTACATGCACATATTGTGCTCTCCATCCATAAATCCTTTAGTGTAACCAGTGTCACAATAAAAGTCCAAGTGCACATATAAACATAAATAAATTAGTCTCTCAGTGTTCAGACGTGCTTTCTTCCCTATATAGTGCGATTTTCTTGGTGCTCCCCACTGCTGGTCCCACTTACCGATCTGTATGGACTCTTACTGTTATATAACAGTCTAGCATGCTTATGGATATGTAGCAGTTCAGCTGGGTCTTGTAGTCGTCCTAAGTGTTCTATTCTTTACCTGTTCCTCGGGTATCGGCTATATATTCACAGTGGTACACTCCTCATGCAACCTATTAAAGATGGATGACTCCAAAGCAAATAGTGGGATATATTGGGCAGGCTCATCTGTATGTCTAAAACACTTTACATTGTGTTCCCCAAAGGATTTTCCATGGCTCTTTGTAAGGAAGAAAAGCACGTTTGCACACTGAGAGACTATTTTATTTATGTTTATATGTGCACTTGGACTTTTATTGTGACACTGGTTACACTATAGGATTTATGGATGGACAGCACAATGTGAGCAATTATGGTTTTGTTATTATATTTCAATTGTTTCTGCATGGTGATTTACACATGTGAGGATTATTATGCACGATTAGGCAGCACTTCTATGTTGTAATATTAAGTGTTCCATATTTTCAGATGGTTGAATTGTTTTGCCTCATGATAATAGATAGTGGTGCCAAGCCAATTTTGAACCTCATTGGCCAAACCAAGTAGCAAGTAAATACTGTCCTTCTGCAGCAGTATTTGGGGTAATTTACTAAAACTGGAGAGTGCAAAATCTGCCACAGTTTTGCATAGAAACCAATCAGCTTCCAGGTTTTATTGCCAAAGAGAAATTGAACAAGCTGAAGTTAGAAGCTGATTGGCTAATTTGCAAAGCTGTATTATTTTCAGTAAATCAACCCCACCATTGTCTTCCTGACTCTTGTCTGTGATGTGTGAATCTCTTTCCAGAAAAAGAGACCGTTATAGATACTGAAAAATCTGCACTTTTCTTTTTTCATTTTTGATAGAGCAAGGGAAGGTTATAATCCCTGTCAGATTTTTTTTTTTCATCATTTGTGTCCCACTTCAAAGCTCTCTCTTCACTTCCTGTCCCATATTCAAACAGGAAGTGAGAGGTAATCCCTGCAAATTAAGGGAATTCCCTGGGGACCCCCAGGTCACCAGAACTAGTGTCCCCATTGGAAGATTTTCCATCAATTGCTTTTTTGGGGACAACCCAAAGTTTGGGATTTTCTTTACTTTCACTTTCAATGATAATTGTAAACAGGACAAATAGAGAGGGCATGAGTGTTCTTAATGATGGCTCAGACAGCAATTAAAACTGACATCATCTGTCCAAAACTAATAAAGTTTTGCCTTTGTAATACGTTAAGGGTTCACACTTGAACTTGGCTTTCATTGTTTTTTCTGTTTGCTAATAAGACAAGCTCATTACTATCTCCTTGGGTAGGTGAAAATGACCCATCCTTTGTTGAAAATGTAATCTGTCCCTATATTTTCCTTTATAGTCAACCTAGATAGGCCAGCGAATCAATGAATTGTGTGAATGGAACTGATTGTGTGTCTTGTTGTCTTTGAATGCCTAACAGAACTGTACTCACTAGGATGTGTTCAAATACTACTTGAAGCCAGGGCACTCATAGACCAGTGCTTAGGGTGGCAATATGAGCAGGGGTAACACTAAGCCTCATCATTTACAAATTGTGATAACTTTTTACTCACCTTGTTTCTTGCTTTTGGCCACCTCTGAACATT